CACTAACTGCTTTTTGTTCTAGATATAACTGCAACGTGTCTTTAAAAACGTGTTATATTTAAACATTGGGGGGCTTGAATGACTTCCCTGGTCACCGTTGTTGAACGTACATTTCGCTGCCTCAATTTTGTGTTAAGTAAACAGATTTAGAATTTTCATGACTTCCACATATGGAACAGTTCAGTTACCTAGCACGTCATATTTTCCTTCTAGAGGACTTGCATGCCTAGTAATAACAGTTCTGGTAACCACTGACACAGTTTGCCACTGAGATACTCTGCAGAATTTAATGTGGCAGAATATAGACAGAAAGAATGGTTTAAACTTTTTCAAGAAACAGTGAGGCATAACCCTAAAAAATAGACCTAATATTCTGCCAAGTAAAAGGCTAGGGGTGGTGGGCATTTTAATTTATTTGTTGCTCAGTAGGATTCACATCTGGTGGACATTTGAACCAAAGTTGTTATTTAATAGGAATTAAACATATTTATTACATCAACGCTTTTTTTTTTTTTTTTTTTTTTTTTTTTTTTTTTTTTTTTTTTTTTTTTTTTTTTTTTTTTTTTTTTTTTCAAGATAAATTCTTTATTTATTTAGTGAAAAAAGTATTGATGGGACATCTGGAAGAGTATTACAGCTGCCGAGGCGAAAATGAGGGAGATCACTGGCGTGTTGAAGCCGCTTCCATTAGTTGTGGTTCTGGGTGTTAGTGTTGTAGGGCCAGTTGTGCTGGAACCCGCAGTTGTGGTTCCTGTGTTGTGTGTTGTTGAAACCGTTGAAGTTGTTTCTTGGGCGGTGATGTGTGCAATGATCACAGCCACGCAAAAGACAAGTAGGAAGTTGTTGAAGAATGCCATTTTTACGGTAACAAAAAAAAAATCAACACGAGAACCAGCAATCACAGTAGCAGCAGCCGAAAAAACGCTTTTTGTACACATCATCCACCCATGATTAAGAGGTAGGCTAGTGAGTGCCACAGACTTGTTCAATATCAACCACTGCAGTCTAATGATCTTTGAGTCAGTGGATCAGTGGGGATATGTTATAATCACAAATTTGTTTCAGGTGAAACACGGAAAACACCACATCCACAACACTCAAGCATTTTAGACTGCTCTCTAATTAATTTTACTGCTGCCCACTATTTAACATGCATGTCTGCTTGGCGTTATATCAAGAAAAACTGTTAAGCACGATGCTCTAGTGAAATTGACAAAGAGTACAAATGGATGGGCTACAGGTTCAGAGATTTTATATAGAACATTGAAAGTGGATACCTGCATTAATACTTCAGCCCCCTACTCTATTTAACATCAGTTACAACTCAAACAGAGTGCAAAATTCTATTGCACCAGCACGGATACCAGTGCCTGTATACTAAAATCACATACACTATAGGCAGAACAGAAAAATCTGTCTGCCAAAAGACAATGAATACAGGAAATGTTTTCTGAATAGAAAAAAAAAACCCGGAGATAATAACAAGATTAGGCCACACATGCACCAAATATTACAACCAATAATGACATAACGAAGTGGCAACTTAAGGGTGCGAATCACAATCATTACAGGGAGCATGAATCATCAGAATAGCATGCATCACACAAAAGAAAACTGACATCTTAAGAGATCTGAAGTAAGTAAAAGTCTTGTATCTAGTGGCACATTATAAACCGGTGGTCTCCAACCCGACAAAGGTTGACCACTGTTAAAGACAATTCTAGGCTGTGTAGACCTGGCAGCCAAGGTAGTTCTGGGGGACCAAATCCATAGATTCAAAGCCAAGACATGTGGTACGGTGTGTGTATATTAACAGTAACTGATCAATGTGGATGAATTAACATTGTATTTTTTCCTAATGGTTTTTAATTGTATGAGGATTGACATAAGAAAATATGTAAAATGTTAGAATCTGCAAATATTTGAAAAATTGATTAAAAATGTCTTTCAATACAACACTACACAGCAGCTAGTTTTTAAGTGCACAGATTACATTTTCTCAAACACCACTCACTACTACAACTAACAATCTTGAGTCAGTTAACCAGCTGTGAAATGTTATGATCACAAATTCGTTTCAGGTGAAACGCACACACAAAAATCACATCCACAACACCTAATCTTCTAATAATGTGGAATTATTTTTTTTACACATGATTTTTAAAAGCAATGTATTTTTTAGCGGTTAAGCAGTTAACTATATTTGAAGACACAATGAACTTCATAATCCTATAATAAATATTTGAATTTTTTTTTTAAATTACAAAAAAAATTTGAACCAAGAAAGAAATTAAAAAGGACACAAAGTTTGAATACCATCATCATTATCAGGTGCCTTGCTGACTGGTGGTGATCATGCCTCTCCACAATCTGCTATCTCCTGCAGCATGTCTTAGTTTGTGTGCTGACACACCTCCATGCCAAGACTATTAGGAACCTTCTCTTGTCTTCCTCTGTGCCTTCAACAGATCTTTCAGTGGTCACAACATGTTTCATTTTCTCTCTTCTCATAACATGACGGAAAAATTATGACTGTCTCCAAATGATGTCTGTGATAAGTTGTCTTTGGGCTCCTGCCTCTTTTCAAAACCCCCTGGTTGCTCTTTTTGACTGTCCAAGGTATTTTAAGCAGTCTTCTGTTTGAATACCATGACTCCATAAACAACAATAGGGAATATTCACAAGAAGAAAGAATGATACTGGCAGAGTCAATGCAATGAAAAGATGACATATGACTGCACACTGAAGACATGCCTATCCCCTAGAGGGAAACACCACAAACAATTAGGTCAGCAGAAGGATCACAAAAACTGTATGTCATCTGTGAACTGCTATATATATTCATGCTAAAATTTGTTTGTACACTGTAAAAACAAGAACAATGTACAAGGGCAAACAAACCTTCTGTGAGGCCCCATTCAGGAGACCCCTGTCCCATAGAGCTTTATTGCCTGTTGGGTCCTCATCAACATCGTCGGTGACATCTGCAGGCAAGCGAATCTGTGAAGGAACAAAACCAACACTGGTTATCCGTCCGTTCTAATCATCAGAATTTGTTCTACTTTTGTTATATTTAAAAGGAAAAGGCCCTGTGTGGGTTCTGGGACCCTATTATAGATAAGACAAGAACAGACTCACTGTCTCTCCAGCTAGCATTTTGTAAGAGTCGATTGTCTGGGGGGCAAGGAACCAACAATCTGCATTCAGATAAGTCAGATCTGTGAAACAGATGTGCATGCAACACTCAGGTTCTGGAACAAAAGACTAAAGTTCAGAACTTTCTGCTGGAGTTCATACAGTCGGTGAACGCAAAGAAGAAGAAGATGAAGAAAAGGAGAAGGTGTATTCAGTAATTGACATTTCAGGTCCACACTGCATTGAGAAAAAAAAGGTGAAATTTGTGCACACTGGTAAATCACATGAAATAGGGCAACAGGAATATGTGGGCTTTGAGGGCTGTTTTGGACAGGGGTGGGGGTGGGAGGACAGATTGCCATGTAAATAGCGCGTCATAAAAGGCAACTAATTAGAGTTTTGCTAAAAATTGATGTATTTCCTGAAAAGTGAACAATCATCATCATCATCAGGTGCCTTGCCGATCATGCCTCTCCATAGTCTGCCATCTCCTGCAGCATGTATCAGTTCGTGTGCCGACACACCTCCATGCCATGAAACAAGACTGTCAAGCATCTTCTCTCGTTGTCTTCCTCTATCTCTCCTTCCACATATCTTTCCAGTGGTCACAACATGTTCTATTTTCCCTCTTCTCATAACATGGCCGAAAAATGATGACTGTCTCCTTCTGATGTCTGTGATAAGTTGTCTTCGGGCTCCCGCCTCTTTCAGGTCAAGGCACTGCTAAAACTGGATGTATTTCTTGAAAGGTTAACAAGGCACTAGCTGTCCTCTTATGAGTGAACACAGTTTAGTGTGCATGTATGTATTCTATGTTACCTAAAAAAAAAAAAAAAAACACAGGAAAGAACAATCTTGTCTAGAGAAAAAAAAAGTCCCTGGTATATAGAGATATCTGTTATTGTTTCTGAACTGTAGATTATTAAAGAAGAAAAGACAACGAATTAAAGAGAACTGTACAAGGAATGAAGTAATTAGAAATCTTTACAATCAGCCCATATGAGGGTAAAATTTATGATTTATGATTCTGTGACAGTGCTGTTTACTCCCAGTAGCAGCTGTGAGTTCTAATAAACAATATCAGGGCACTAGAGATTAACACGACAAAAAAGGTACGAAAGGAACCTCATTAGCCAACCTTAGTACAATGAGGTTTGAACTGACAGACTTGCAAGTAATGCTTGCGTGGGAAATGGAGGAGCAATGGACAAGGCTAATATGCTTATTGCCCTCAGAAAGGTGGCTCAACTAAACGAATCAAGTAATGATTATGAATTTGAAACACTGACGAGACAACACTAACATTTAAAAGAGCCAGACAAGCGCGCTACACAGGGGCCAAAAAAAAGAACAGGAAACCAACACAGAACTAGTGTCATAAGCCACTACACGCTGAGGGAGATACTGAAGAGGAGATGTGCGCGCTTATGGACTGAATAGTCTGATGTTCAATGATGATAATCTGTGGACTAACTAACTACACACGTCAACATGCCCTCTATTTTCCAGCCTGAATAATTATGACCAGGAGTAGACTGCCTTTCAAAAGCTAGGTAATTTTATGTTGTTTTTATATAACTATCATAGTGCTCATACTGCATGTTGATAAAGACTAGTCACTGAGAGCGGGCTCAGACCCTCATAATTTTTTTAGTGGCAAGGTAGTTCAAAGGGTTTGAGCCTTAACTCAACCTTCTTACTGTCACCAATGACTGTGTGTGAGTGTGTGCGCGGCACTAGCAAAAGCTAACAAGATCTTCTTTCCTCCCATGTTTTTAAACTGTAACCTTACAACAAAGTGATCTAGTTTCAAGTTACAATCACAGTAAAGAAGTCAGTAACTGAGAAAGTCATAAGCAACTCACAATTGAAATATTGCCAAACTTGTCTGCCCCAGCGACTGTGTTGTAGTCCAGCAGGCAGGAGCAGGTGATCCACCTAGGACTGGTGTCATCACAGAAGGTGATCAGCTGGTTCTCTGCCCGACGATATCTCAAGAAATGGAAACTCTCTTGAATGTCACCAGCGATAACACGGCTGCCCATGGTGTGGATGCTCACAATAAAGTTTGGTATGTGCTGAAAAATTTAAAAAAAAAAGATAAATAACTGATGATAGGTTGCAGAGAAATGATTTTCTAGTTATACTATTTACAGGTTTTCACAATGTGTAACATCAAACGCCATCTTCTCCTAGAATTTGTGTAGATCTTTACAAGCTGGGATCACTGTGGCAGGTATAGATCATCTGCCTCTTCTGTGAAAGTTGTCCCACATTTTTCTGGGGTTATTGCTGAAACAAGCATTCTATGCTATGATCTGTGTGGGCAGACAGCACCTCTACAGAGAGAGGCCAAACTATAAGGATAGTTCCGAGATAAAGTAATCCTGATAGCCATGTTAGGCTGCATCAAACAGGGAACCTGTAACAAATGAACCACCCTTCTTCCATCTGGAATACTAGACAAACTACGTAAATTCCTTAACAGTACAGCGCTTCTGATTACAGTGAAGCTTTAAAATTTGGAAATGACCCAAAGCAGCTGTCTATAGACATGTCCACTGAAATTTTCTTTGCTCGGGCAGTCAGCACATACATATAAAATCACTAGTGGTGCACACACAAATTAAACATGCATACAGTAGGCAATAACTACAGAAACTATTGGGTAGTAAAAGGTAATATAATATATGTGGATCAGATTAGTAGGATGGTAATCATAACAATATTCATGTGAAACACGGAAAACATCACCTCCACAACTACACTAACATTACAATACCATCAGTTGTAAAACAATACTGATGCTGTAACCACCGATTACATTAAGCTGCTAAAAAAAGAAACCAGAATAACTTTAAAATGGGACTTCACAAGTAAAAGACCCTTTTCCCCCACCTTCAGAGAGATTAAATATTTAGACTAGACATACTTTATAGCAGGGCTGTACCGAATAGGGATTTTCACTATTCGGCGAATACGAAAATCGGGACGAACTATTCGGCCGAATACAATAGTGTATCATCATCAGGTGCCTTGCCACAATCTGTGATCTCCTGCAGCATGTATTAGTTTGTGTGCTGAAACACCTCCATGCCAAGACTATCAAGAATGTTCTCTTGTCTTTCTCTATCCCTTCTTCCACAGATCTTTCCAGTGGTCACATGTTCCATTTTCCCTTCTCTCATAACATGGCCAAAAAATAATGGCCGTCTCCTTCTGATGTCTGTGATTAGTTGTCTTGGGGCTCCCGCCTCTTTCAAAACCCCTTTGTTGCTTTTTTTGGCTGTCCAAGGTATTTTAAGCTTTCTTCTGTAAAACCCCATCTCTGAGGCCTCAAGAAAATGTTTGGCCTACCTACTGATTGTCCAGGAGTCAGCCATATGTTAAAACTGGATGCTGTTCCAGGCAACCGGGTCGCATTTTCCCCCATCTACTACACTTAGGCAACAGCAACTATTGTGTTAATGAGAGATTTTTTTTATAGTCTATTGCAGTGTATGCACAAATGGGTGTAAGGTAAACACTATTCGTATTAGGCCCAACCGCAAGTATTTGGCCGAATACCGAATATTTATTAGGTCCACTATTTAGCCCCGAAGCTAATATTCGGTACAGCCCTACTATATAGGCCAACCAGCACTCGGTGAGTGATGCAGTCAACATCACACTGGCTGCCTTTAATTGGCACCCATTTAAAGCTGGGTTGACCCGGGAGCCAAGGTAGTTTTTTTTTTAAAGTCCGGCTCCATAAGAAGTGAAGGCAAACCTGAACCCATGACTTCTGGATCCAGAGATGAACAGCTAGTTGCTACACACTGGCAGTGCCCACGTATAAGGTAAGTAAATATAGCAGAAACAAATATTTGGCAGTAAAAAGTTACTAAATGTGGATCAGGATTAGTAGGATAGTAATCATAAAAAATTCATGTGAAACATGGAAAACATCATTTCCACAATGTATAGTGCTTTAACTACACTTACAGTACAATACCATTAGCTTTAAAACAATTCTGATGCTGCAATCACTGATTAAACTAAGCTAAACAAAAATTTTGTTTGCAATATATTTACAATTTGGAATAAAATAAATTTTTTTTCTCTATAAACAATTTTTACATAAAACTTAAAAAATGTTTACCATACCTTATTTTCACATTTCCGCAATAACTTTTTCTTTCCAAGATCATAGATACGTAAGAACTTGCCAACACCAATAAGGACGCGACCCTGGAAGGCAGTGATGGCTCCTGGGATATCTTCCACAGGTGTTTTATGTAGCAACTCCAATTTTGAGCCATTTTCAGTCACCTGGAATTATGTATGTATATTAATATATATATATATATATATATATATATATATATATATATATATATATATATATATATATATATATATATATATATATATATATATATATATGGCTTAGTAATGCAAGAAATCAGTACTACATTATTGATGCAACAAAAATATATCATTGGATTTCAGCCTTGATACTGAAAAATAAAAGCTTCTAATGCCAATCCTAGGGCTAATCAACTAAGTTTACTCAGGGGCCAACATCTTGAAAATGGTGATCATCATAGGAAGTTTGAGCAAGGATAGAAAGCCCATTAATACAATGCAACTATCAATGATCCGCCGGCTGCTAGTTGAAAAGCTCTGCTCTATCCCAATATGTCCAGAAAAGTAGCATAAAACCTCTGCCATCATAACCTACCAAATGTAAAGACTAGCCACTATTACAACGACCCTGCACGCCCTCTACAAAGATTATGTCTTTAATGACCCTGTGTGGGTCTAGGCTCCCAATGGGAAGGGAGGGGTAAAGAGACAGACAGACAGACCCTTGTCCACCTAACAAACTAGCCATTAAATTTGAATAAATAGGTGTGATTCCTTCAAAGTAGGAGTGCATCTTCCAGAGAGATGAGCAACCAACAGCCTGCATACAAAAAAGCTGTACAACTAATGTGCATGCAAAAGTCCCGAAACAAGACTGAAGTCAAGAAATAAATGAACAACCATAACTTCCCGTCAGAGTTTACAGCTGGTGAAAGCCAAGTATTAGTAGTCTTTAAAATACAGAGGTTGTTGGCTACACACCTGGTCACAGTAACTATCAATCAGGTTGTTGGCTACACACAGGGTCACAGTAACTATCAATCAGGTTGTTGGCTACACACAGGAACACAGGGACTATCAATCAGGTTGTTGGCTACACACAGGGACACAGTAACTATCAATCAGGTTGATAAAAAACAGGGACACAGTAACTATCAACCAGGTTGTTGGCTACACACAAGGGTCACAGTAACAATCAATCAGGTTGTTGGCTACACACAGGGACACAGTAACTATCAATCAGGTTGAAAACACACAGGGACTATCGATCAGGTTGGTGGCTACACACAGGGACACAGTAACTATTAGTCAGGTTGTTGGCTACACACAAGAACACAGTAACTATTAGTCAGGTTGGTGGCTACACACAAGAACACAGTAACTATCAATCAGGTTGTTGGCTACACACAGGGTCACAGTAACTATCAATCACAATATTCTTCCTGAAATAAGGTAACAGATATTACCTGATAGGTCAGAAGCTCTCCTCCACTGACTGACCTGGGGTTCAGCACCAGGTCTTTAGCAATGCCCACAATGAGGATGGTATCATCTGGTCTTGATGAGAACTTCACTAGAGCAACACTGTCAGAAATAAAAACAAGAGCGTGCAAACATCCTGCTGCACCTAATTTCACTGAAATAAATATGTAATTACTGTCAGGAAATGTCTTTCAAAGTACAGATGGTGGGTAAGATGTTGACGATAACACCATCCACGAATGTCGATCAGTTAATGAAAATGTGAATCAAGCACCATATATGGCTGACACATCTGTGGCATCAAAGGGATCCTTAACTTTATTGTGCAAAAGTTAAGTTACTCTACAGATTTCATAAAAGGTAGTAGCAAGTTCCATCTATGCCTGGGTTGGTCATCCCTTCCCAAATTGATAATTCTGCCTCATTCTCCACGCTATGGGATGTTGGTCATGTCTGCTGTAGTTTTCTGCACTACTAATCATTCATGAAAAGATGTCTCTCCATGCCAAACTGTATCTCTCTCTCTATAGACCCTCTCTGCCAACCTGAGCATTATAATTATAGCTCAAGATCTAAGAACACAGAGACTCAAGTCTTTAAATTTTCAACAGCTATGAGAAGACTATGTAACCACAAAACTGGAAACATGGTCCCTGCTAATGTGCAATCTAGTAATTCATCTGACCCTGACAAAGGTGTCTTTTGTTACAAATTTAGGAATCTAAATTCACAAAAATATTTATTTTTCACTGAGATATATTGGGGATACATACTGCCAGCCATATTTTGTCATACATTTTGATAATAATTATCAACTGCAAACATAAAAATAAATATTATGTTGCTGTGAAGATCATACAAGTTCACAGCAAATGTTTATCAGAATACAGGTGGATCAGCCCAGCTACGATGCATCAACATGTATCAGGTGAAACATGGAAAACATCACATCCACTAATAGGCAAGAAAAACTACCAATCTGTCATCTGTTTCATACTATGGTATCTCTTACACAAATCAGACCTTGAATTTTTATGTTTTGAACTCTTCTGAAAAATATTTTCTGAAGAGATCATCGTACTTTTTCCTAAGCAAACTCAAAGTGTTGTCAAGTAACCGCATGAAGACCATCATGTGAATAGTTCTATCCCTATCACCTCACTGAAGTGGTCTTTCTAATATGTTTAATCTCTAACCATTTCTCTAAGGTTGTTCTTGATGTCATCATCCTTTCTTTTTCCTCCATGCTCTGTGTTCATTATCTTTCTTCAAGGTAGCTTTCTGTGGCAGCAGCTGTTCTTTAAAAATGTGTTTTGACTGTTTTCGGTCCAAGTCTTCTTATTTTTTTAATGTTTTAATTTGATCTCTTCATGCCATTCAGACAGCTCTTCTACGTTAACCTATCTCTGTTCATATCCTATCTCTGTTCATGTCCTATCTCTGTTCTTGTCCTATCTCTGTTCATATCTTATCTCTGTTCATATCCTATCTCTGTTCATATCCTATCTCTGTTCATATCCTATCTCTGTTCATATCCTATCTCTGTTCATATCCTATCCTATCTCTGTTCATATCCTATCTATGTTCTTAAAACTTGTTTATAACGTGTAGCATATTTCCAATACCCCTAAAGACTTGGAAAAGGATACCAACATATACAGAGTGTGCTGGAATACAGGTGGATCAGTGCTATAGAGTGTAATCAAAATTAGTCATGTGAAACACAGAAAACATCATATCCACTAGCATGCCAGCTAACTCCTTGCAGGACAATCTCTAAGTGTTTGTTATAAACCAAAATCTATTAGCTTTCCAATCTGATCTGATAGACAGATGCATCCCTAGATAAAACATCACCTCTGCATCCATGTCAACTGCCAGTTATGCAGAAATAATGCAGACAAACAAGGTAAAAGGATGGGAACCAAGACGCTCATTGTAGTGAACACACAAAAATAGACCCACCGCCCCTAATAAGCATGCCGTAAGTGTAGACTAATAAGGTGTTATGTCCTTCAAAGTTGGATCTTGCATCTGCCTCAAAGGCAAACAACCATCAGGCTGCACAAAAATTAGCCAGATCTGTAAAATAAACATGCATGCAAAACTCAGGTTCTGGCTTAAGACTTAAGTCCAGAAGTGGATGAACAACCATAATTTTTACAGCCATCGAACGTGAAGAAGAAGGAAAAAATCGGGCAACATACAGACTCAAGTCATTAACTATAACAAGACTAACCTGTTACCAGAAGACAAATGTAACAGTGTCCTCATCCTATTTACCTGAGACCAAGAACTACATACCTATGAGCTGCATCATTCTGGTCGAGGGCAATCTTCTCCAGGTTTTCACCAGTGATAGGGTTGATAATGCGAACAACTGAAGCCCACATTCCCAGGCCTGCCTTAGGGGCTCCAAAAATGGTCTCTGGTCTGTCTTCATTGAGGAACTGAGCTGCCATTTCTGCTGCCAACTCTTTCTCATCTTCATCTGCAGCTTCTATCAATTCCTAAGAACAATTGTATTCAGAGGTATCCAAATTAAGGACATTTTAAAATAACTAGTATGGTTGGTAACTAGTAATTACCTCTCTAGCAACTAAATAATCAAATATAGATGCTGTATAACGAAGGATGGATTGACTTAGCTACTGCATCAACAGATATGTTATTTGTTTTAGGTTGCAAATCATATCAGATAAAATTGTACCAAAAGGATATTTTCAAATATACTAATTCAAATGAGAGAAAGTTTATCATCATTTATGATTGCTTGTTATATTATAAATGTTAACTGATATACAAAATTAACATGAAAACGCTGGCATTAACAAAACCTGTGGTATGTGGTGGAGGGAAAGTGCCAGCAAAAGAACTGTTTACGCCCACGTGCTCTTTGAATGTCAACTGCTCTTTGTGTTTGAAATCCAGAAGGTTTATGTCCAGAGGGTCAAATTTTATAACTATAATTAGACAACAATCTGCTAATCTTTTGTTCAGCAATTTACCAGTCTTGTGTTATGTGTTTGGTCCAATGATGAATACTGAAAGTGTATGCAATCATATCAGACAAAGTTGTACCACAGTGATATCTTCAGACAAACAAATTCAGATGAGAGAAAGTTCATCATATATGACTACCTGTAACAATATATAATATCTGTGGATGTCAGAGGCCTGTGTGGCTATGGACATATTGTAGGTGATGATAGTGACTGATAGACTAGCACTGTGATGTCCGTTTGAGTGTCTGCCTATTCACACCACATGGAGATAACTACTGGAAAGCGTGACGAATCTAGAGACTCCACAGGAAGCTCGCTGACCGAGCGTTGACCATCTTGGAAGAAAACGAGAGGTGAAGAGTTGGAAAGGAAGAGTTGGTTTGGAGACTAGAGATAGGACAAGATGTTGTATTCTGACCCCTACAGTTTTGAAGTTCGCTTGTTTAGAGATAAGGCGACGCGTAGGAGTTGTGAGTTAGCTTATGGTGTGATTATCTGTTAGCCTGACAGTATACTAGATTAAGTATTAGTTAAGTCAGTCAACTTGGTATACATTGTGTGTTTATTATGATTTGCAGTATCACTTATCGCGCGATTATTGTATGTTCCTACTGAGTTGCTTTATGCCAGCAACCTATAGTTGGTAACTAGTATGTTTGAACAGATATCTAGTATGTTTTCACTGGCCTAGGCTAATAGGTGAGAACATGGCTGGCTAATTCACTAGGGTGACACTGTCATGGTAGCAGTGACTGTAGGAGGCTCCTGCCTTCCATCTAACAAAAAGATCTTTAGCCATCCATTGACCAGTTTTCTGAAAATTGCGGGGAAGAGATACAGAAGATGCAGTCATATCAGATAGTATTGTACCAAAATGGTATCTTTAGATACACAACTTCAAATGAGAGAAAGTTCATCATTATGTATGAGTGCTGTTCACAATGCCTTATATCAGCATGGAATGGATGAATATAATAGACTTTAATGTTGTTCAAACCTAAAATGGAGGATCAGATATGGCTTAACATTCTCAGTTTTTTTGCTTCCAAAAGCACTTTGCTAATGCAGTTTCCACACTTGGACAGTAGTCTTTGGTTTTGCTGTCTGAGCTCCCTGTGTTCAGTGCTTAGTGCAGCCTTATGATTTGCGTTTTTTCGTGTGGAACTTTCATTTGTGCAACAGTTGTGTTATAGTATTCAATGTGGCCGGTAGCCGATTTACGTGTGAGCTGGTAAAATACCTTGTGTAAAGAAATTCTATGTGCGTATAACCAACTTATGTCTGACTATTTTTATCAACGACGAACTGCTTTTCTGACCATTGGCCATATGCATTTACTGCGTGTACATATTTCTGGATTGTTCCGGAACTAACTGTCTGCTCACTATTTTTCAAAAGAGACAGTGAGGGATATTTGATTTGATTTTCGCTGGCAGAGGACAGGGGCAAATATAGGAAACCCAACTGCAGTGAAGCTGAAACCTTGACTCAGACTCAAATTAGGTATAAGAAAGCAAAAGATGTGTCCTCTTTCCAGACCTGACAAAAAATGTATTCTATAACTTTTGTGCTCATATTTCTTAATCCTTTCATAGGCTTGCAAAACAGATACACTGTACTCTTATCTCTGAAAGACAGTGGAAATGCACAGTAAGGGCTATTTTATCTGCCAATGATGACTAACAGGCTTATTTTCATTCACCACAAGAAGAGTAATCGGTCAACCAACCTCTAAACGTAATTACCTAATAACCTGGTGACCTGGTGATGTGCAATCATATCAGATACAGTTGTACCAAAATGATATCTTCAGATACACAAGTACAGATGAGAGAAAGTTCATCATCATATATGATTATTTGATATAATTCTTTACTCTCATTCTATACTACTAATATACAATTAACTGTGTGGTATAGAAAGCAAGAGACCATTTTATGATACTGTCATAGACTAAACGAATATATAACTGCTCCTATCTCTGAATGATTGCTTTCTGTGTAAATCTAAACTTAAGATCATCCCATCATTTACCAGAAACAACACCAGTTCAATTCATGATTGCTAATAATAGATATGATGTTCATTTCATGATGCAAATCATATCAGATAAATTGTACCGAAAGGATATTTTCAAAAATGATAATTCAAATGAGAGAAAGTTTATCATCATATAAGACTGCTTGTCATGTTAAAAAACACCAACTTGTACACCTATTATAAACATGTACACAATACTGTATTAACAAAACCTAGCACATTTATATTTTCAAACCACCATTACACAGCAGTCACCAATCTGCTAATCTTACATTCAGTAATTTTAAAAAAGATATCATTGTCTGTGGTTTTTAAATAAGAACAAGTTACGAAGTCTTGAGGCTTGTTTTATGATGCAAATCATATCAGATAAATTGTACCAAAAGGATATTTTCAAATTTGATAATTCAAATGAGAGAAAGTTTATCATCATATAAGACTGGTTGTCATATAAAAAAAAACAACTTGTACACCTATTATAAACATGTACACAATACTGTATGAACAAAACCTAGCACATTTATTTTCTCTAACCACCATTACATAACAGTCACCAATCTGCTTATCTTACATTCAGTAATTTTAAAAGATTTCAATGTCTGTGATTTTTAAATAAGAATAAGTTATGAAGACTTGAGGCTTGTTTTATAATGCAAATCATATCAGATAAATTGTACCAAAAGGATATTTTCAAATTTGATAATTCAAAAGAGAGAAAGTTTATCATCATATAAGACTGCTTGTCATGTTAAAAAACACCAACTTGTACACCTATTATAAACATGTACACAATACTGTATTAACAAAACCTAGCACATTTATATTTTCAAACCACCATTACACAACAGTCACCAATGAACAAAACCTATGTTTAGTTGTTGGAGGGGAAACTGTCAGCAAAAGGATGTTTTAAATCTACATGCTCTTATGTTTGAATGTCAATGCTCTTTATTTGAAACTAACTAAGGGACCAACAAGCTATTGTGTCTAAAACCAAACAGGCTGATGTCTATCTAGCATATTAATATTTTCCAATAACCATTACATTACAGTCACTAAACTGCTAATCTTACATTTTAAACTATCTTTTGTCATGTTTATAAACCGATAATGAATACTGGATGAGCAATCATATCAGACAAAGTTGTACCAAAGTGATATCTTCAGATAAACAAATGCAGATGAGAGAAAGTTCATCATCATGTATGATTGCTTGTAATAACACCAAAAGATATCAATGTCGATGATTTTTAAAAATTAGGTTAAGATATGAATACTATCATAATTATTAATTTGTTTCTGACACATAGTGTCCTTGTTGTAATCCTTTAAACCTAAGTATGTACTGCTTTTTAAGCTCAGCTAATGTAATCGGGATAAAACTGATTTCTGAGCACTACAAAATTTATTTTCCTCATTTTTTGTTATCCCTGGCCCAAGACAGTAGGTCAGAAAATGGCTGCTGTTTCACTCTAGTTAACATCGACAAACTGCTGCATGCTAACATTTCTGCAGTGACAATACTAGAGTATCCTGCTTCCAGCCAACATTGTTTTTCCCCCTGTTAATTCTTAAAAGGGTGAGTTGGCTAGTTAAACTGTGATAACTGCACCTTTTAGCAACACACCAGATGTTAGCAAACCCCTTTCTTCTATTTTCTTTGTGTTCACAGCTGTAAACTCCAGCAGAAAGTTCGGATGAATTGTCCACTTCTGAACTTCAGCAGTCTTGTTCCAGGACTTGAGTTTTGCATGCACATTCATTTTACAGATCTGGCTTGTTTGTATGCAGACTATTGGTTCTTGGCCTCTAAGGCAGATGCACTTTGACTTTATTAATTGACAAATTAACGATCTCACCTCAGCCATGTTCTGCTTCCGCAACTGTTTGGTTTCCTCGGTGTAAGCATTGTGGTCTGTTTCAATGATGATGAGGTTGTTTGACTCAGGGTGGATGATAAACTTGCGTGGTGTATACTGTAGCGGCCAGGCGACTTGATTAAAGACAGCCCCCAATTTTTCCAAAGCCAAAATTCTACAAATACACAAATCAGATGCAGTCAATTCTGAAAAAAGCCTATCATCTTGTGATAGAATAGTCCAGCTTTCCCGAAAGATCAATTCAATAAATTATTAACATGCTAAATAAATACAATCAACATAGACCAAGGGGAAGACATAAAATATTGCGACTCACTGCAGCCCACGGCCAGTGTTCCAAATTGGGGGGGTCCCCCCCCCCCCAGCCTCTACGTAATGAGTACCAGAGTTAACACTGGAGTAAGTGGAGGAACATCGCTGTAGCTACGAAGTTGCATGCGGACAGCGTCACAAGCGGACATTTTCTTATCAGCTGTCCATATTGGTGGCAAAGCACTTATGGTTTATAACCGTGTGCAATGACACTGGTTCACATCTCCTGACTTTGCCTCTATGAAGCAACAGCCTCAAAAAACTCTTCGTGTAAACTCTGGTTTCAAGTTCTGGCTGTTTGTCCACCCACCTTCAGACTTTATGTTTTGTTTTATAGGTGTGGCTTATTTGTATGCAGACTTGGTTTCTTGCCTCTCAACTCCAATGACATTTTGGCAGGAGAAAGTAGGTCTAGGCTTGTTTTCCCCATAAAGAGGTTCCGGAACCCATATGGTGACCTCAAAGAAATAAAGATCAACTTATGCAATGCATTAGAAAGAGCATACAAAAGATCTTTACATGACATCTCCCACAGACACCTCGATAAAGTAAATGGGAGGCAGCGAAGTAGTAGTAGTAGTAGTTGGAAGATAAGATTTCAGTCAATCATGGAGTGAAGAATTGTTTTTCCAACATAATTATCAGACAAAATTAGCTAATCTAAGGATCATTAAGGCCCGGCTCACTAACTCAATTGGTTTAACCTGACTGCCTGGGGACCAGGTGATGAACTCCTTGTGGTCAGAGTTTACGCCCAGGGATTAGGCAGAAAAGCCCCACTTCTCCCAGATTTACGGTATCTATCATAAAATCAAGGCCGAAGGATTGCGATATCCACAGTACCCAGCCAAAGGGTTAATCAACAACTCATGGTTTATGAATAATTTTTCCGAACCACCATTAAGCTAGTTAGATCACACCTTTGTCAACTGTGGTCCATAACTTTCCAATATACCCTACTGAAATCAAAACATATTTGGCCTAAAAAAATTTTTAAAGCATACTGCTCCCGGTATACTATTCAACAGTTTAAAATAGTAAAAAGAGCTAGGGCTACATAATCAGTTCCTGTCAACCAATACTTTAACTGGTTTTTTAATTACAGTAAAACCTTGTTGACATGAAATCCCTTAAGAAGAACACTAAATTGACATGTGAACGAAGTGTGATCCCAGCAGGAACCATACTGTGTATGTGTTTGCACTAATTCTCTACTTTATCTTCAGTATGGGATATATACCTGCAGTTGTGTGCAATCATATCAGATCGAAAAGTACCGAATAGTTATCTTCAGATGTACTAACTCAGATGAGAGAAAGTTTATCATCATCTATGACTGCTTGCTACAATCTTAAATATAAACCTAAGTAACACACAATGAAACTAACAAAATCTGTAGTTGAAAAAAGAAACAGACATTGCTAGTGAAGAAACTATGACTCTTTTCTTCCTCTGTGTTACATAGCTTGTATCCAAAAATTGCAGCATCTGTTTGCTGGATCCAACATGCTGTCTGCTGAGGATCAGTATTTCCCAACCTTTTTTGTGCCATGCCCCACCCCACCTAAGTCTTTCTAAAATTCTTATGCCCTTATATAACAACTTAAACTCTGGACAAATCAATTTTCATATTCCCCCCCCCCCCCCAATCCTGTGGGAGATGAGCCCCATGTTGACAAACACTGCTGTAGATCCTATATTATACCTTAGTTTAGACTATGTTTGAAACAAGGACCTGTTTCACACAACCGACACTGGGCTTATGGTGTACACGGGTAACGTCGTCAATGTCAGCTTTCATTTTTCAAGAAATTTATAGGCCCTCATTTTGGTCTTGCCAACCCAGTGGGGCTGATTAATTAATCACGTATCTGAGCAGATTTAAACCCAAGACCTTTAGGCTGATTGGCAGTCATCTAGCTGCTGAGCTTTGCAATCATATCAGATAGAAAAGTACCGAATAGTTATCTTCAGATGCACTAACTCAGATGAGAGAAAGTTTATCATCATCTATGATTGCTTGCTATATAATCTTAAATCTAAATAAACAACACACAATGAAACTAATAAAATCTGTTTTCTTCTCATGTACACACAACCTCCTCATTTTGTCTGAGAAAAGCTCACTAAATACACATGATGACAACAACTTTCTTGAAATCCCATGCTTTAAGCGTGGAACACTTTTCTTGAAGCTGGTGGGCTTTATTAGTCACACACCAGCACCGAGACTCCCACGCCTCCCTATAGCTTAATATTACACCATTGTCTAGAAAGAGGGAAACGTACAAACATAACAACAAAGGTGCCAACATATCCTCAATTCATCTGTCAAAAGTGATCATCTGAGCATGCACAACAAATGGAATAAACCAAATACACATCGTACCTGAGTGTGTTAGTGGAGATCGCTACAATTCCTTCTGGACATTGTTCTGAAGCAAAGCCAGACGCATACTCCAGACTTTCGTATGACAGTGGTGTTAGATGGAACCTACTCTGGTAAGTATAGCTCAGCCAGGTACGACTTGACATGGCCAGAACCTATCACATAAACAAACTTAAGTAGATGTATTATGTGAAGTTTTCATTTAAGATCTCAAACAAGTGAATTTTTATTTAACTTCAAAGTTAGTCCTAAAAAAATTGTTTTTCTATAGCTGTGTGAATATGTCAGTGATTGAGTGAGAGAGATTCAGGGAGTTAAAGAGAGGGGGAAAGGGGGAGAGATGTATAGGTGGAAAGAAAGAATAGTTTAAAAAAAATTCCAATCATATACTGTATACAAGGTGACTTCATAACACAGCCCTAAACTAACCTAGCTCCATCTCTATAGGTAATATTAACACTCAAACGGTAAAAAGATGAAGATAGTCCAAAATGTGTCAATTGGCTAATTGATAGGCAGAGAATATCAAAGACAACCTGTTGGGAAAGTTGACCAGGAACTGAATGGATTTTAATCAATCTGTAACTGTAGTAAGCACCTAAAAAGATACATCAAACTTTACCAAACTACAATTTACACACACTATTGTGTATGTCCGTTGTTTAAATTCAGAATATGGAAACACTGCTCTGATATTCTGGAAATTGCATGCTATTTCACCAAGCTGAATCAGCCACAAAGTTGCCCTGGTCAAGGAACAAGTCTTGACATCTAAAAGACAGCACATAAGTAAGACTCTGCAGCAATCTTTGCTTCATTCAGTATCAAGCAAGGAACAGTAAGAAACAATTACTTACAGCCTCAGAGCCCTGCATGGATATTCTGAAGAGTTTCACTGGCCTAGAACCCAGATACCTTGTACGTGTGTCTGATAAGTCCCCAGTCACTGTATCTAGAACTGTTCTCAGTAATACACCGTTCTGAAAAATAAAACATAATTATTATAATACAGAAATTTAAAAACGTGTTTAAAGAAGCAGACATTTTTGTCTGATTAGACTGCCCTGCCTTGTGCTGTATGTAAGACCTTCTCTGACAGGCTGAAACCAGACAGCAGGTAGTAGAGAAAATTAGTTTGCACAACTCTAGCACCTGCCTTGTCTTTAAGAAAACTGGCATTACATATGTACAACTATTTGTAAACTATTTATAATAATTTACTGTATAACCAGTGGAAGCGGCAGAAGTGTAAGGGCCAGACACTGTTAACTCCAAGGTCTAGGGTTCAAATCTGCACCAAGAGGGATATTTGAAACTGATCTTTGCTCCCAGGTGGACCTTGCATAAAACTGGTATCAGGGAGTGTCAATGAAAGTTAAAGTGACCCACCGAGTGTCTACTGGTCTATACAAATATTGATGTAGCACTACTATGTGCAGTACTATTTTCTATTTTTTCAACAATGTGTCACATTTTTTTCATGAATTAAAATATTTAGAAACAGTCTTACTATCTGTGCAAGATATCTGTTCAGCAAGGTAGTTATTTTACTACTTTGTTTTGAGTAAAGTGTGCCAAAAAAAGAATGCTTATAGCCACAAATGCAAACCTACTACACAAAAGTACTGACTCAGCCATAATTTCCTCCACAAAACATAGTAATCATATAAAAACCATTATCAATCAAAAGGTCCTATTCAGAATATTGTTCTCTTTGCTGCACGCCTTAAGTCTCTCTTTCTCTGGCCAATTCTCTAGCCCAATGTGCTTTCACAGCCATCTTTAATGTCTTCATCCACATTTGCTGAGGTCAGTCTCTGCCTCGTTTTCTGGAAACTGCACCCCCCAGCCCCGAGACACTTAATATGGCTTTAACCTTGGCTGTTTATAGGCCGTTCTCCTCGATGTTCAATTCATGCAGAATGTTGGTGTTTTATCTTTTACTTGGTCCAAGGTATTTATTCTAAGAAGAAATTTTGTATGTGACAATTCAGTTCAAACTGAAAATTGTTTCCTTCACAGACTGAGTACAAGTCTGCGTCTCACATTCATATGCTGCCACTGGAAAAATACATAACATCAGTGTGCAAGAGAAATCCTGCCTTCGTTACCTGCAGTCCAATGTTGAGATAAATGCCTCCTGCACTAGCTGTTTCTCCAGTCTCTTCTTTGGCCTCGGTGCCACCCATCTCAATGATACAGAGAGATTCTGGTGGAGCTGGCAAAGCTTGCATACTTAGTGGTGACAGACAGTCCTGATGAAATAACACATAATCTGCATTGAGTGGTGAAGTATGTCAATGGTATTCTGAATGCATGCAAACGTAACAAAAGCTTATAGCTAACAGTCTGAAAAAATTAATGATGTAATTAAAAAGAACGGTTCAAATATTTCATACAAGGTCAAACAAAAGAGCTGGCTCAAGAATACAAAGTATACATGGGAAATGACACATAAATCATAAATGCACATGTATATACTCATAGACGTAAGCAGGAAAACAGATTGCTCAAGAAATCAGATCTTTAGAAACAAGCAGAAATTATTGAGTAAGCGAAGAGCATACCCATAGATACTCTTCTTCAGCAGCAAATGTCTGAAGGTGTTGATGTGACAAAGCATCAGAAAACACATTAAATCTTTCAAGCTGACATAGTATAATTATTAAAGAAACATACAAGAAGTAGAGCACAAAGGTAAAAGATGTAATGATGAAAAGATTAATTACACATCAGAGAGAAAGCCAATCCTTATCCAGTTGAGGGAAATAGAATAAAACACTATATTTCCACAAGTCGCTGTGTGGGGAGTTTCAGGGCCCCATGCCCTTTTAAAAGTGAATGCAGAAGAAACAAGAGAATCTGCAAATATACTTCAGTGCAATAACCAGAATAAATGTAGCCACACTGATTCAATACATACTTAAATATAAAACAGCTCACTTACGTTTGGATCCAATGAGATAATCCTGACAGTGTTGTCTGCCAGACCCACAGCCAGAAAACGGGAACGCAGTTCACCAGCTGGCACTCTCCCCAAAGCCATACAGACTACATTGTTGGACATTTCTTTTCTTTCAGTGTATTCATTCAACTGGCCGGTCTGAAATACACAATAGATAAAATGCTTACCCTAATAAATAAAGTCAGTAGTTATGAAGCATCCATCGTGATACCACCAACATCACAAAGTGAATTATACTACATAATATTTGGCAAACCTGCTGATCAAGACGTCCAACACAACAGTTTTTTTCCCTGGGGGTTTGCGCGGCAAAGTGGTCAAGCCGTTTGCCTCGCGCTATAAAGGTCGTGGGTTCATTTCACGGCAGCGCCGTTCGCGAGTGCAATTTTTACGGAGATCCTGGGGATCATCATCAGAGGTACGGAGGTCGAGCTCTAAGCGACCTCTCGGCAGGCAGCTAGCCGTTCTGCGGAGAGTGAGCCACATGAGATAAAACCCAATGCACTGAAGTCAGTCCTCTCACTTTTTTTTAAAGGTGTGCCTCCCCTAACTGTTGACAGTTCCAGTCTACATGCAAGGCAGCAGGGTTATGCCTGTCTAGTGTCTATTGCTCTTAATTACACGGAAGATCCTACCGAGCTACTGATTGGCATAGCTCTTGGTGTCACTGGAACTCACGATCATTTTTACCAGACCAAGGTGGAGACAGAGTTGTTGGCAGTTATACTATTTTAAAACAATATTTTCCTCGTGATACCTTTCCCTGGGCCGAAAAAACATGCATTGGGTGATCCATGCCCTGACCCGGATCACTGAAGAGTACTGAAAAATGGGATGGGATGTGATACTGGCTTAATAACAACTTATTTGGCTCCGGCATATTATGCATCAATTTCTAATCTAGATGTGCAAATCATATCAGACAAAATTGTACCGAAAAATATCTCCAGATACTCTTGTTCAGATAAGAGAAAGTTTATCATCATATATGACTGCTTGTTACTAACACCTTATCCTGATTCAATGAAAAACAGAAAATTTTGCTGTTTAAAAAAAAAAAAGAAGCTATTTGGCCAAAAGGAAAAACCTTTTAAATGCTATATTTAGTTACCTTTTAAATGCTATATTTAGTTAATGTATTCATATCCTGACCACCTAAACGTTTGTGCAGGTTCAAAAAACAGACATTAGCATAAATTATGAGTCTTGTCAACAGGCAACTACAGCTAAGTCGAGAAAATGACATTTATATGGAATCAGACCAGGTAAAAAGTGTCGATAGCTCAGGGTGAAAGGGTTAATAAGTAAAATAAAGGAGACCTTTTATGAGTGAACCCTGGAAAGATTCTGCACCACTTGGTGGTGAACTGATGTATGACAAGCTAGATGTTGTGAGGGCCCTCCTCTAGGAGAGAGTGAACAGTGCGGAAGCGCAAACAGATCATTACGGTCTGAGGAGAATGGCACTGCAGGGAGTTACCAGGGGATCTGGCCGACGCTCAACACTCAAGGGAAAGGCGAGGCAGATATACAATAGGACAGTTACTGGTGTCATCAGAATTGGAACTCTTCGTTTGCTGCTGAAGATGGGAAGAACAGAGCGCTTATGGGAGTCCCGAGTGCTAGATGTCCATTCTTAACTCAAGGTTCAACACTCAACCCTGGAAAGAAACAGCAATAACAAGTATACCCAGAAATTAAATTAACCTCTATGGGTGGATCAGCTGGTTTGTGTCATAATCATGTTGTCAGGTGAAACACGATAAACATCATTTCCACCACTACATAGGTATCTTTCCTGTGATTCAACTTTACAAAGGGGAATCAGAAAATAACTGTGACTGGTGTGATTATTGCTCACAGACCCCATGAAGTTCTGGATCTATTAAAATTTGACTAGCACCCTGTATGTCTAATGAGACAAGCTCTAACAGTTATCAATGGCGGCATATAAATTAGAATACTTAACCCTTAGCATGAAATCATTACTGCTTTTTACAGCAGAAGCATGGATAACGGCTGAATATTCACTTATAAACATTGGCTAACTGCAATCTTCAGAGAATAACGAAATTGAAACAATTTAATATTTAAATCTGAGTCACAACATGAAAGTTGAATTAGGATTTGAAATCATGGCACTCTGGACATTCTAATTCCGACAGCACCAGTAAAAGCCTGCACTTCCGCCTTGCATTTTTATTGATTGTTAGTCTTTCGACAGCTCCTCTGTTTACTCCTCACAGCGCCATTCTTCTCAGACCATGCCTCTCCAAACAGTTGACTGGCTCCCAAGGACCCTTACAACATCTAGCTTGTCGTGCATCATCACCAAGTGGTGCAGAACAAGGCAGGACCTCGACAAAATTACCAAAGGAAGCTAACTACATGAGATACACTTAAGCGATGCCTGCCACTCTGCAAGGAGAATACCTGTTTTCACCTTTCCCAAAATGCTCTGTGAGCCAGTTACAATTAACTACATGCCCATCAAATGGTTCTCAAGGCAGTCAAGGCTGCAGTGACTGCCCCCACATAAGGGTATGGCACGACATAGAGACTGCAGGTTCTATTTTGAATGCATTTAGACTGTGTCCAACGTGGTTTATGTTATAAACTGCATATTCATAAAATGGCAACTGACCTGTTGCCACAGAACAGGTGGTGCCTCGTGCACTTTACATGTGCAACTACAGCTGTCAACAATGAACTGCAATTTTAGTGCCTGACTTTTGTGTTTGCACTTCCGACAATTGCCTCATGCATTTAATGTGTGGGCATGCTACTGGCTTCGCCCAAACTAGTCTGTGTCAATTATTTCATAAGGGACAAGCAATGGGCATTCTGTAGTTGTTTTTTCTGTCACATGAACAGGAGCAACCAGGCGGTGATCTGTCTACTGTAAAGCTGCTACTGCAACTACCTAAAATAATGCAAGATTAAATCCAATAAACAACTACTTACTGGATCCATCTCAAAGTATACCAGCTCTCCACCAGTCAGGGCTATGACAACCTGCCTCTGATTGACGGCACATTTGACTATGTTCTTCTTGCCTGGTGTTTTCCATTCATTGACACGTTTATCAGAACGAATATGACGAATACCCTCTGGGTAAATCTGAAGAAAAAAGATATTTTCATCATCAACTGTACAATAAAAGAGCCTTAAGCATTTACTGACACTGTGCGCAGTTTGGAAACCTAGCCTGCTGAGTAACAAGAGAGTTAACTCCATGAAGATGCCCATGAGATAACAAATGTACGATATATTACTTTTAAACAAACAAACTATACTGTGAAAATCAAAAACTGGACCCATCCGATACCACTAGGTTATCAGACATTGTGCCAGATCCTTACTTTTTTTGAAGATCAATCGTCACAGGTTTATGATCAACATCATGCCAGTCACCTGTTTCCCACGAGTTTTAGGTTACAAAGAGCGGGCAGTTCTGAACATATTTAAAAACAAGAATATGCCAAGGAAAACATTTACAGAACAGCCATTCGATAGCAAATTCATCTGAAGATTCTTGGTGGGTTTTTTTAAGTGTAAACGATGAATGAAACTGGATAAAATACAAGAAGAAAGGGGGTGGGCTACTTTACTTAAATATATGACTTAGTAGGCACACAAAAAAGCACTAGTACTGTGATATCTTTTACAAAAAAGTTAAAGCAGTATCTACCGCCAAATTACATCTTGTAAATTTCATAACTACAGTTTGCACAGAATGAGGCTCATGGCCATTCATATAATGCAATCTATTTAATCTTCTGGACATTAGAAACCATTACCCCAACACATCTCTGGTAGCTGCATTTCTGTACATTAAAAAATCTAGGCTGCGCCATCTGTATTAAAAACCAAGAAAAACACCTAAAAACCTACCCATAATCAACACCTACACTAAAACATGACAGCCATGGAAAAATATTGCCTAAAAGGATTAGCATCAAATACCTGCACTAAAGCATCAACGCCAAGTTGAGAGCATGATATGGTGGGTGTTGTTCCAAGGAAGCCGGAGTCTGTCACTTCCTCTACAGTTTCTCCAATGGAAAGTACCAGGGTGGCATTCATGAAAGACACTATGATGTATGCATCATAATCATCTGCAGATAACAAACAGACGGTATAAATACAACAGAATGGAAATGACATACATCAGATTATACACTTGGTTCACCATCCACGAAATTACTTTCAGCCCCCCCCCCCCCCATCATTTTTTCTCTCTCTTCGGAGACCAACATCTGCTAGGCTTATATCCTGGCAAGAGTCACAAACAAAAGAGTGCATCTGAGGATCCTATAAGATCCCCAAAGTCTTGTCTTAAAGGGTCACTCTAGGATTTCAGATTGCCAGTATCTGGCAAAATGTGGAGTTTAATTTGGGTGGAGATGATCTTAATAGAATTCCTTACAACCTTTATGTATTTTATACCAAAACATAATTCAAGAAGTGAGTTTTAGCAAATGAAGTCTAGTTACCGAGTACCAGTAAAAAAAAAAAAGCATGTTCATATTTTGGAAATCATACCCAACATCCTGCAGTCTCTAACCTACAGCAGCTACTCCCTGCCTGAAATATTTCACATTTGTTCTACAAATGTCCCAAGTCAAACAATCCCATTCTTCATCTCCTTCAGGCAACTTTACTAGAGACATCCCTTTTCACAAATATCTATTACCATCTCATCCTTTACTTGATTGAAGTTATCATTGACAGCACAAATGTGGCGTATTCATTCAACACATTCCAGGAATTCAAGACCAGACCAGAATAAGCAAATGTACCACATCATTTTTTTTTATTTGAAAAGAAAACACAATGCCATAAAATATAACTGTAGCGACAATTACAGACTCACAACATCACAGGGGATGGGTCCATATCCTTACCTTGCTACAAGAGTTAGGAGGCCCATCACCTGTGAAGAGAAAGTAGGCTTGGCATTGGATTTTGAGCAATCCAGCCTGCCGGTTTGATTAAATCTGTTTGAAACTGTTTTGGACACAAACTGTCAAACACGCAGACAAACATACAAAGTCTAGAAACAAGCTCCTAATGCAGGAACAAGCAGCTGCTGTTGCACCTGGACATTATGAGATAAGATGACTTCCATCACAGAAGTCTGTAAAAGGTTGAACACTAATGAATTCTTAATAATAAATATGATGATATTATTGCCAGAAACAGTAAATAAAATACATCTAAATGGCCTAAACATGTGCGGCAAACAATGTTTATTGTCATTTTAAATATTACAATCCTGTGATCTAACCACTGAATGTAACTAACCAATATCAATAATGACAAACACAACAGCATAGAACAAATATCCTCGCTTCACATAATTCCTAATACAGCATTATTCAGTTCCAAACTCCCAAATACTGGCACTGCAAACATCCTACCACAGATACAACAAAGTAAACAAAAAAATGTATGTAAACGAGTCACACGAAGAAACGCCTGGTTTGCACTTCCTGGGACAACAGGGTTAAAACAGCAAATGGGACTGCAGAATTTTAAATATGAAAAAGAAATAATCATGACTGACACTTCAAACCAGACATCTGAAAAAAGACATAAAAATATTTAGCAATAAATGCTGTGCTGGCAACATCTGTTCTGTGAACAACATAAGCCTCCTAACTGCACACAGCAGGAATAAATGTATATTAGTGGGCAACAATACAGCATCACACTTTAGTCACACCTATAATAAACAACTATCAAGTTTACACTAAACTTTCTCCTACATATCAACATAACAGATTGTGATGTTTAACAACCCAGCAAAATATTTGGACAGACATATCCAGGTATATACAATTTTGATCCTGCATGTAAATGTTAACATGTAAACAATATCTTCAGTAACCTTTTTAGTCCAGTGAGACACATGGTCCACGATATTCTCTAAATCTAAAAATTTTCATTCAATGTTGCTTAACATTAAATAAATACTCTAAATTATTTTTAAAAGTTACACTGTGCATACCGTCCCTATTTGGTTATGAAAGGGTTGACATTCACTATACTTGAAAGTCGCACAAAAATATTGCTAACCATGCACATTTTCACACATATTTAAGGACCGGCTGAACTCTCCCTAAAAGATGAAAAAGAGATGATCATTCATTTGTAGGCAAAAGTCTGAAAAAGGTTTAACCTAACCATCAGTGTGTCGCTTTACAGTCCAGACAGCGTTTGGATTACCGGGTAGCTCTGACACGGCCATCTCAGACACCTGAAATAAAAATAAATTGTTGATACTTTATTATTTGAGGTACCTCATTAGATTCTTCTGTTATTATGATCCAAACTGTTCTATCTGAGATGGGTGCCCTGAGACTCAATAGATTACACTCTCCCCATCCTCTAGTCTATTGTCTAGTCACCTGTGGGCTGCTCCATGTCCACCTTTTACTAAATCAGTCTCTACACAAGAACGAGTGCCCCTGGAAATTACTAGCACATATTTTAAACAATCATACGTCTTTTCCGTCTATTCTCTAGAAGTTATAATGTATTCACATAATTTCCCTTTCCCCATCCATTGCCTCTGATTACTGTTACCTATACAATGTTTCATTTAAACAACCTGGAGAGAAACCTAAGAGACAGCCCCCACACACACAAACTCTTTAGCCCTACCAACACATGTCTATACAATTTGGAATACATGGGGGAGGGGGCGGGGGACCACTTCCACTATACACCAGGGGTGCTTGCTTAACAATATACATTTGACCATAACCCTATTGTCTAAATCAGCGCTAACATTATAAAAAGTATGTGCCTATAAATATCCAATATCTTCCATTGAAGACAACATTGCACTGCATACAAATGGGCTGATCATTTTTTGTGGCTATTTGTTTTCCCTGTCTACTTATCTAGCATCTTGAAATATCCAGCGATTTATGAAAACATCCCATCTTTTTTGGCATGTAACTGTTTTGTAATCATGTTATTTAATGTTGATGATTCACAGGTATACAATGTCGGAGGCAGTACGTAGTATTCAAAAATCCTACCCTGATTTGGACCGGCAGGGAGATGTTATATAGAATTTTCATCTGGAGGGATGCTGCATTACAATTACAGAGATTACAACACTGATGACTAACCTCTAAACCATGTCGCAAGACTCTTAAAGTGGACCTTGGTCCTCGACCACACAATGTATATAGCTGGGGTGTGTCTTCATTAGCTAAGTCAGCAATCTGTAGATAGAAACATATATTCATTCTATAGTATTTAATGAGACACACAAAAACTAACTGTATTTCCTTTCGATGTGGTGAAAACAGTAGACGGCACACAAATAAGCCAGTTCAGAAAGATAGAAAGAAAGAGATCAAAGGAGAGGGAGGGGAGAGACAATGCAGAAGACGGAAAGGAGGGGACAAGAGACAGAAGAGTGAAAAAGGGAAGAAGAGAGAGAAGGGGGAAGGGGTGAGAGAAAAGAAGATAAAAGTTATGGGGGATTTCACTGCTGATCTTGGCAATCTGTAAAGATAAACTAGGCTAAAAATAGAAATTCAAGTTTCTAGGTCACCTAAAAACCCTGAGTATGAGAAACCTGAGACCTCGCCAGGCCTTAAAAATTTACCTGCATGGTAACAATTGGAGACAAGCTGTCCATCTCATCCACCATCACCAGATTTTTCAATTCTCTAGGGGAGAAGTGGAATGTGTCTCCTTCTTCCAGCGGGTTTGCACTGCTGAACATTCTTTCCCCATCATCATCACCTAGATGTGCAATCTGGTACAGGTGGCTGAAAAACACACAATTTAAAACTGTTACAGCCAGTGAAAAGATATATCCTAAAATTAAATCAAACTGTACTTGTAGATGTAGAACTATCTTGAAAACCTCAGTTAATCCGAGTATCTGGCTTCTCTCGAAATTCTTGTTAACCTTGGGCTTTCCCCCAACCTTCCTAATCAGGGTGAAAATAGCCCCCATTACATAAACCAACATTAGAAAACACATGCTTGGGTCAGCTTGTGAGCCAGTGAATCATTTGTTCAACAAAAAGATTTACAATACGGTAACAAACTAAGAATATTTTTTTCGGACAGCTTCCCGTCACTAGTTCAGATTTACTGTTTTTAGTCATGGCAAGTTTTTGCCATTATTTTAATGACAACAGATAGCCATTATGTAGACTGTAAGTTCAGTAAGTAGTTACCTTTCCCCCGCTTCTGCATACACGGCCTTAATACTGACAACATGGAACGATTGGTTTTGTTGAAAGCTAATGCAGTAAAAATTCAGCGTAAATTTGACATTAAAAATGTGTGTTTTTGTTCTTTCAAGATATATTTTATACGCTATTTACTATTTGTATTCGGCCGAATAGTTGGTCCTGTTATTCGCATTCGACCGAATAGTGAAAATCACTTTTTGGTACAGCCCTACCGATTACCCTGATTTACAAATGCCAATGCTTTGGGTTTAACCCACTGACTACCAGCGTCGCACGTTATGCTGACATATACTTCTTGCCGCCAAAGTCACACTTCCTGTGACTGTAGCTTTGGACACTCGCCGCCATGTTAAAATTGCGACCAATTTTCTCAGCTCCCATGCCAGTGTGGCATTGAGGCAATTTCCAACACTGCGACAAATTCTCGTAACCATCCTTGTGGTCATAAATATAAAGGATTTTTCAGTTGCCTTTTTTGCCTCAACAACAACGAATCAGGTGACTGGTCGACAAAATCCATCATCAGCAATTGCGTGCCACATTCTAAATTCCGGGCACATCATTAACAGGGATGATGCATTTCGAATTATTTACACATCGGCCAACCGTAGATTACTCAGATACGCGGAAGCGTCCGCGATCCACCGGTTAAAACCGGATCTCTGTAGGCAGAAAGAAATGGTAGTTTCCTTAAGGTTACCTTGGTGAAACAGACAGTGTAGAATGTACTCGAATTTGTGTTTCAGTTTTTAGGATTCAGCTATTTGCTTCATTTATTCACTTGTTACTGTAGTATGCACCTGACGAGATACAGCGAAATATGCCAGGCAATAAATTGTGCAGTCTATTGTTTGTGTCTTCTTTGTTCAAATTCACATCGGGGAAACATTGCTTTGAATTTTTTGCAATAATCTACAGCCACATGATGATAATGATTAATTCAGAAACAGTAAACCCGACTTTTTTCCCTTTCAAATGTGTTCATGGTTCAATTTTGTGCAAATATTACAAACATAATAAGAGTTTTTGAAAAATATGATATTTTTGTATTAGTTTATATTGTTGTCAGACAAAAGATTTCCAGTTGCTTTTTTTTGTTGCAACAATCTAAAGCCTCATGATGATGATGATTATTTCAAAGTAAACCCCTTTTTTTTCCTCAAATGTGTTCTCGGTTCAATTGTGTGCAAAAATATATGATAAATGTTTGAATATTTTTTGAAGATATGACATTTTTATTAGTCTATATTGTCAGATAAAAGATTTTTCGGTTGCCTTTTTGCACCAATCTTCAGCCACATGATAATAATGCAAAACAGAATAAACATCTTTTCTTCTCTAAAAATTTGTTCTTCATTCAATTTAGGGCAAAAATACAAAATATTGTGAGATTATATCAAATAGTTGTGAAGCTGTGGCATTTTTAGTACACACTAAATTACGTGGTATCTGGGGAAAATGCAAGGGTTAATGGGCTTGGTAATTGGTAGTCAGTGGGTTAAAACTCTATCGTAAGATCCATAACCAATACATTAGAGCCAATGCAATCAATATAGAATTAATCAAGACTTACTGATTTCCAAATTCTGCAGCTACAAAAAGAAACCCAGACTTGAGGACACACATGCTGGCAGCTATGGGGACTGTGTCAAAATATTTTAGGCGAATTTCTGTAACCTGAAAAGTTGGAAATACTTGTGATTTTTAAAAAAAGTTTATGAAAGAAAGCACAGATACAATTTTAAAGAAATGCAACACAGTAATAAGTACACCAACAAGTGAGAAACAGACAGCAATGCTCAAGTTTTAACACATTAACAGCTCTTTTTTAATTCTCTTTTACTGCTTCAGGTCTTGAGGAATATAAAGGTTGTGGTTTTTTTTTCTAGTCGTCTCAACCATTGAAATCTGTTACAGAGTTTCTCTGAAGTTATCTTTCCACCTTGTTTTTAGTCTATCTTGTGTTCCATATCGTTCTCATGTGGTTTATATCTTAAATGGTATGGTATCTTAAGATATTCTAAGTGAGCAAGCTCTTTCCTCCTGCTGTTTTGTACCTTTTGAAGCTATTATGACCACAGCTTTCACCAACAGCCGAGCAACTCCTAAAAAACAGCTTTCAAATAGACTTACCATATCCTCATCAGTCTCCAGTGTGATTTTAAAGATGTCACCCTGTTCTGTTTGAGCCAAGAAGAAAAACATCGACTGAAAGAAGAAAAAAACAATGTAATACTGTGTCTTCATTCAGTGAACCTATTAAATGTTTGCATTCCAACACAATAGAAATTCCACTTAGACTGTATACTAATATACTAAGTAACTCACTCTCATCACAATTATGTTATCACATCGAAATCACTGCACATTTGGCATTCCCATGCATGCTCAGTCCTCTGATGCAGCAACCACTCATACTTCTAATTATTGTTCCCATTAGAGGTTGGTTATAATGTCTCCCATCTCGGCCTCAAAGACGTGCTTCACCATGCTTTACTCCCACAGCAGGCAATCATCATTTTGATTTGCCATTATATGTCACACTTGCAGTGTATCCGTTCATTCCATTCTAAATAGTGCAATTGCCATAGGTGGATTCGGGTCTAGTCCCTGTGACCTTTCTCATCAGCATCAGGGTTTTGTCATTTTCAATTCATTTATTTCTATTTAAGTGCCTGATATGGGATTATTTGTTCGATTGTTTGATATTTGTTGTGTTTCTTTCTGCACATTAAAAAAGCTAGATTTTTTACTATACATAAAAAAAAACATGGCCACAAATATACAACGGGATAGAAGTTGAACAACATTGTTACCCGTGTCCTACTTACCATATGGCTCATCTATATATATATATACATATTAAAATAAATTTTGTTTGTTCGTTCTCTATATTTTAGACTCAAGTCTAGCTACTCCAGTATCACAGTCTGTAGATCTTGGACAACTGCTTTACCTATCTAATGGGCACCAACTTTCTTAGGGGCAAATTAAGACGTCAAACAAGTCTACAAAAAATCTAACATTTTTTAGTTTCAGCCCTCACCTGCAACATGTTTTTCTGGCTAGTATCCATTTCCTGTATTTACGCGTCTCAGAAGTTCAACTGACTAGACAGACATGTGGATTTTTTTTTAGACAGACCTCAGTTAAGTAATTTTCTGTATTCTTGTTTGTAACTACAAATATCTACTCCTGTCGTGCACTGATGAATTTTTTCTAACTGAAAGTCGACCAGTTCTACTTACCGTTTGGTTTGATATCTATTCACGTCTGTTATGAAAGCTATCCAGCTGGGCTGAGGGTTTCTCGTTCTAAGAACACATCTGCTACATAAATTAAACAACAGATAAAACAAACCAAAAGCTCACCTTGGTCTTGTGTGTGGCACTGCATACAAATATCATTCCTCTCTCTGGATCATCAAGGTCACACTGTACAAATAAATGGCAGTTTAATTTATTTATGATCTCTCACTTTGTGCTTAAATTTAAGAAGACAAATATTTTATGTACTCATCAAATTTAGAGCAACAGAATATTTTAGGTGCATTATTGGAAAAATTAATGTGAAACAAAGGTGTTGTCATCTTGCACACGATATGTGTCCTGTATCTGGCAGTAGTATATAAACAACAATATCCTGTTAAACCTATCTGGATCATAATTAGAACATATATATATTTTCTGTTTATTTCAATACTGCATATTCATGCTTATTTGGGTTAATACTGCACAGATTATAGATCAGACTGTAGAAATTTAGCATAAAAATAATTGTATTGATAATTATAACCATCATTTAGTTGTGTCGTTATACACTATTTAGGGCTGGCAGTGTATTCTTCTGTTCCACTTTCTGCAACTGTTACAATATCATCGACAGAATCCAGTCAAGCATTTTGGACCCCTCTCAGCAATGTTTTCCTTATGGTTTTCTTTTGGACATGCTGGCTTCCTCAACCTGTTCGACATTTAAGTGCCTGTTTGAAGATTCTGTTTGCTTCACCTCAGGTCATTCTCATCCTTATAACTGCTGATTAACCACTTTAATATCTCCACACACAAAACTAGTGTGTTTTCATAACCAATTCACAGTAAAATGTCAAAAATAAGATTACTGTACCCTTCTTCGAGGAATGGGACACCTGATATCTGGCTGGTCACCCAAGTTCTTGTATGTGACGTAGTTTTCTGAACAGATGAGCACACCACTGGGTCCATCATGGCCACCAGGAACTAGCAAAATAAACAAGATTTTAGTTCCCATAAAGTTGTTTAACCTACTGAATTTCTAAAAGTTGAGTATATTCATCATTTTTACTCAACAAAAAATTTGACCAAAATCATCACTTTCAATTATCTCAGTCTTTAGGAAGAAAGAGACAGACAAGTTTAGGCAACTTAATAGACAAGAATTACACTTTTCAGACACTAAGGTAGCTTTTTCATTACTGCTATTATCATGAGGAGATCTTCTGGATTATACAACAGGGTTTACTAATGAGCACATATAAGACTGTAACTGGCACTCTGTGCTTGCTGTTGAAGGTGAGAATGGAGCACTTATGGAAATGCCACAAGTGCTGTTGATTCTTAATCACTAAATGGATGAATTATATCAGTTTGACTATAATAAGGTAAATAACATGGTGCACAGACAAGGAAATACCTGAAATCAAAAAGTTGGCATGCTCCTCTAATTGTTCTGAGTATTTTCGAACAACGTGATTGAGACCAAGATCCAGTTCATAGTAGGTGAGAAGCTGCTGTGTTTTCAGTGCTGCTTCTCCAGAGGGGTCACTATCTGCTTCCTGCACAACAGATTACACAAATATGTATGTTTATGCTGTAATCTTCTTTCACATTAACAAGTGGTGATACTTTTAAAGCTCATATACACAAAATTTAGTAAAAGTAAATAACTTTTCCAACAGCTGCCCATCAGACATAAGACTGAACCTTATTTTTTTCAGACCAGTCTGCCCTCATTAGGCGATGTGATCGACATCATGCTTTAATTCCTGTTACCCATTTTAAGTTGGGCCAACCTAAGAGTTGTCAATTTTACAAATCTGCCTTAATGTGGATTTGAACCTGAGATCTTCGGGCTGGCAGGAACCTGTCTAAACTCTGGTACTGTTTCTGAAAACATACACTTTGGGCAGGTTTGTCTGAATTATTTGTTTGCATGTCCTTAGGCGTGCCACATTTAGAGGCTGCAGCAACAGCACTGGTGTCACTTCTGGACAGACATTGGGTTATTAATTGTGACAGCGGAAATACTTCAGATGATATTAATTCAATCAGAAGTTATGGAGTGACTGAATGCATGGTTGCTAAAGGGCTGGAGCTGTGTGTGGTTTGAAAGCTTTATTTGCATGTACTGTCTTAAACGGTGGGAAGTGATTTTAGACAAAAACCATTACTACTGATACCAAAGCAAAATATGTAAACTGGTCAGGATATTTGTCGGCAGCCCTTTGCATGACACAGTTTTGTAATGATAAACTGACTGTTAGCTAAGATGCTACGCTAATGTTTCAAACAAAAACTTGATATTTAAAAGGGGTCATAATGTGGCACACATTAGATATACTGACTTCACCCCTGTCATTCATTATCTCAAGCATGTATCTCTTAATATCAACAACAATGGGTGCATAACTAGTTAAGCACCACATACACTACCTAGAGTGTGTGTTGTCTGATGTCTTGAAATTATTTGCAGTTATACTGACTCATACAAATGTTTGTCTAGAAATGTTTGTCCTTCAGGTGGCTACGGTTACTTAACTGCTGTCTCCACAATGAATTCTTGCAGTAATGGATCTCCAAAACGCTTTATCTTTACCTGTGAATGTACTCTCTCAGACTGATGTTAGCCCATCAATTTCTATTATCATCCCACTTTTATCGCTGTCTGCCTCTTACTCACTTGCCTCATCTTTTCCCCCTAGCATGGCTATTAATGTTGTTTTAATATAGCCAAAATATTTTATGTCTTTTACCAAATAACTCTGAATAAAAGGGTGATTATAAACTTTAACACATTACTTAAAGCTTCAAATTGAAGAAAACAAACTACTGACCTCATAATCTATTTCCAGGCAGGCAAAGGTGGGATTTTCAAACCCAACATCAACTCCAATCATGTGGTAAACAAGTGTGTTTGATTTATGAGCTTCCAGTGGGGAGGAGATAGTCAGTCGTGCTTGTGCGTCACGATTCAAGATATATACCAGTTTCTGCTTTTCTACAGCACCTATACACAATATGGTGGTATTTACAGATTATCGAAAACAAAAGTATAATTCAGCTTCATGCACAAATACATCAGGAATTATTTTTAAAAATATTTATGAGCTACAATGTGTTATGAAAATTAGTGTCACTGCATTCCTATGTACAGGCAGTCCTCCAATGCAGTTGATATTTTAAGGTTTCTTCTTCACACTCACTGGCTGTAAATTCTAGGTGTTAGTTCACCTTCAGACTTTAGTCTTGTTCCAGAACCTCAGTTATGCATGCACATTCGTCTTATCTGTATGCAGGCGCTTGGTTCCTTGCATTCTCAGGCAAATCAAAAGTAGTAATACTGACTGTTCCCATTTACAGTTGGTTATAAATTTGCCTATTTTGACCTTGAAATCTGGGTAGACGTGTTCCTATGAAGTAAACTTTGGCGGAAAGTTCTGGTTGTTCACCTCAAAATGTTAGTCTTGCTCCTAAACTTTAGTGCTCATGCACATTGGTTTTACACTTATCTGAATGCAGACTGCTGGTTCGTTGCCTTTCAGGGAGATGCACTTTGAAGGAAGCCCCCAGTAAGTCAACTCTTTTAACACATTTGTTGGGAGGCAGTGAGTCTATTCTTGTTTCCTTTCACAATGGGGCCTCGGAACACACACAGGAATGATAGAATACAATAGTGAAATTTCTACTTGAATAAATAAAACAAAATATACATATATTTTATCTTTCCTTTTTTTTTAAGGAACATTTAACAGAACACAATTTTTAAAAATAACAATTACCAATCATCACAGCCCTGCCTTTGGGATCTACAGCTAGGTACTGGCCGGGCACAATTCTACGACAACCACTCTTGCCAAATGTCTCTTGGTGAACCTTAAATAAATAAAATAAACCAAGAAAAATTAACCAGATAAGAATGCCAATAGTGCATTCACAAAATTACTCAATACTTTGTCTGCAGGCTAACCAGATTAATTCAACATTTGTATGTGGTCATACATAAGATGAATTCTTCCTAGCACCACTTCTTTCTGTGTTTAAAAAGCACACTCTGCATTAGTCCACAGTCATCGCATTATCCAGTGCAAACAACTAGTCGAGGTGAGTGTTGTCTAGTACCTTAAATATACAGAACATCACTGAACATCAATTAGCTAAGAACATTAATTAGCTTCAACAAGCAAAGGTACTATCACAGAGAAATTTACACTGCAATGTTTTCTCTAAACTTGTTTGCTCAGGTATATACAATTCAAGTAGAATTTTTTTTAAAAAGAATCTGCTTCCTTAGGCTTTGCAAGTAGCAGGGTTGTGTCCTTTTTTTGGACCTGTCTACCGTCAACATTGTTAGGGGTGGGGGGGGGGGGTGTCTCTGGAGCCCATAAACCCTACAACACCAAAGTGGAGACACACCAGAGGAGGTACTATCTAATATGAGTAAACCCTAAAATCCCTAGACATCAATGATTATGACTGCAACACTTTCACTTAATAATCCTCTTCCTGCATCTGCCTTCAAGCATTTTTCCAACAAAACTCTAATTTCAGTATGGACAAACAGATTAAACATACAATCAGTATTATTAAACAAGAACAGCACTGATAAAAAAGCTCAGTATTTCAGAAGCAATCTTCCCAGTACAAGATATTGGCTAACTACCTCATCCTGTAGGAAATTAGCTGAAAATCTAACCAAACATGGGCAGGCTGAAAAAGGGCTTACTGTGTGTTGGCCAAGTCCTATTCTCTACGAATTTTACAAATTTCCCATATTTTGCTTCCAGTCTCAGGGCTGAATCTTTAAGGAAACAATATAACTAAAACTAAGTTTCACCCAAAAGATCCAAATGTAGAATTCAGTAAAACCTAACCTTCACAAATTATAAACTCCAGGATTAAAATACTGTCATATTTACCCTCTCAAAAGTATTCTTTGAAGCAATATATTCCAAGATTACAATCCTGCCAGAGTCAGACCCAACCACAACATAATCTGAAACATGATGAATACAGTGTTTAATGAATAAAACATAGCAACATCTGACAATTACTTTCTGCTATAGAGCTTCCAATTAATAAATGAAAACAAATAATCTCCCCGTTTGGGTTCCATGGCCCTGTTATAGGGAAAACATAAACAGACCCACTGCCGGCCCAAAAGCATGCTGTAAGAGTCGAATGATTGAGAGCTTCCTTCAAAGTCAGAGTGCATCTGCCTGAGAGACAAAGAACCAGTAGTTATACAAATGAGTGGGATCTCTAAAACAGATGCACACGCAACACTCAGGTTTTGGAACAGGACTGCAGTCCAGAAGTGGATGAACAACCAGAAATCTCCGCCAGAGTTTACAGACGGTGAACGTGAAAAAGAAGAAATTAACTATCCATCTTTGCACAACATTATTATCGATTTGTTTTTACATACATTTGTTAAATATGTAATGTATATGCAGGGAACAGACTTTAATGTATTAATGACTACTGCAGTGGCAGCAAAATGACAAACTTGTAGATGAGTTTTAAAGAAACTCGTTATGCTAGAAGTGGTTGAACTGAATGCTCAACTTTTTTCTTTTACTGTGTTCCTATTCATCTGCGTAGTGTATGTTCATCAAGAACTACTGAACTACCTGAAATACAAAACTAACAAAATAAAACTATCAAATTCATGACAGGTGTTGTTATCTGCATACAAGCTAGAAAACTTACCTTTAGTTCCACCTGTCAGCCTAAAAGGCATAATGGATCTAATAATTCCAAAAACTTCTGTTGAGAGCACAGGGAAGATTTTCCCAGTGTTGGGGTCATGTCGAAACAGTTCCAGTACTTTGCCCCTGGACACAACAATTTCTTGCAGCTTGGAGCCTGAGAAGTTGCCATGAATGGCAGTAACAATTCCCTGTGACCTCTGAAGTGTCAGATTATACAGGTACATACTGGCAGCTTAGCTGACTTTACTCATCCTAGGAGAACATAAACAGAATGAATACAATATTAATTCACTTATCACATTATATTTTAATGAAGTTCACAACCGAGACTAGCTAAATTGCATTCTTTGCTATCTTCATGAAAATTACATGTATGAAGCCATAATCTCTTCCTAGGTGTGGCATACCAATGTCAATAAATCACATGAATTGTATTTTTTTTTTCTAAACTGCCTTCGGTTGGAATTTGCTCACTGGTAAATGTTTTAAGACAGCAATATGAATAATTTACCCCACAACCAGGTATTCAAATCTGTTATAAACTGCCTTCTCAGTGTTATATTTGATGTTTAAACAAATAAACACAAAAAAGCTGGCTTTTTATGCTGTGCTCTACACAGGCTAATAAGGTGAAGGATAAGGTATGCCTTCAGGCATACACAGCTAGACCTACAATTTATAGATCAGTCAGCACTCACTGGGCGATGGGGTCGATGTTGAATGAGTCAACCTGGTAGCCCATGTCATTTATTAACGAGTCTGGATACATGCAGACTCAACCCGCAACATTTGGATCTGCATGCAAGCATCCCGCAGCCACACCACAGCAACTCCCTGAAGGTCAGGCTAGGAATGCATTTGTTAATTTTATTCCAGTAGTCAAGTTTCTCAAAAAAGTTTCCCAATGTCTGAAGTGTGTGTGGCATATACACATATATCCTATGTTATGTACTCACTACGATATTTCAGTAATAATTTATCCCATAAGATATGAAAACAGTTGGGTGCATAATTAAATTATCTAACGTGGGCCGCGTTAGCGCAGTCGATAAGAGGCTCGCTTTCAAATCCAGCTGCGACTTGCTGCAGCCACAGTCAGTGTTCGAAATTGGGCGGTTCCCAGGGTTCACCCAGTGTCTAGGAAATGGGCACAAGATTTTACTCTGGAGTAAATGGAGGACTGTCGCTGTAGCTACAGGAGTTATGTGCGGCGACACAGGTGGACAATTCTAATCAGCTGTCCGTACTTGTGGCAAAGCACTTAATGTTTATAAATGTGTGCAATGACGCTGGTTCACATCTCCCGACTTTACCCTTTTTTTTTTTTAATCTTCAAGATAGCCAACAGTTTGTTTCACTCAAGGCTGTTATAGTGATTATCCAAACACTGTCTACCATAAATCATTTATAAGAATAAAATATAAACAAATGTACAAATGGATGATTAGATGATGAATTAAACTATTACTAGCATTATTCCATGTGGAAAACATGAAGAGACTCAATGCCTCCCCAACAAGCATGTCGGAGTTGACTAACTGTGGGCATCCTTCAAAGTCAGAGTGCATCTGCCTGAGAGACAAGGAACCAACAGTCTGCATCAGGTCATGCAATTTGCAATAAATACTCTCAAGATGACAGCTGGAAAACAAAATTGCCATAGTATATATTTATATGAAGAGAGAGAGGCCAGTGTTGAAACAAAAAGGTGTTGTTCCTCACCATCACAGTGTCTACTTGTATAAAGTTTTTAAAGTAGGGCTACAAATCAAATCTGATGCCATGACAGAAAAAGGCGACACGCATACATGATACTACTGTGTACTGCCAGACAAAAGCCAAATACTGATTTAAGTATATTTTTCTTTTGTACCCAAGCAAATCTTACTTTATTGTCTACTAATTCAAATAAAGGCTCTACTGGCAAATCCGGACGAAGAATAAACAGCCGTGGACGACTTATTCAGAGTTCTCTCCCGTGGCCGCACTCCAAACAGTGATCGGAAAAGCCACAACAAAACAAAGAAGACAGTCACGTCGACATCAGGGCTGCCAATGCTTGGTTGTTTCCCCCAGATGTGGGTTTTTTTTCGACACTGCAGGACAATTCTGGGTGTTTTTTTGGGTGTGTTTTGTTTGTTGGTGTTTGCCGGATTGTATGCTTTAATGATCAATAAATTTGCGTGGTTAGGGGGTAGGGAGTAGGATTAGATTAGGTTTAGCGGTAGATTTGACAATTTTGACGCCGGAGTTCCCTATAATCGCGCACAGTCCCATACACACACACAAACAATCGAGGGCCTCTGGATGCTGGTCAAATGCACAATTCGCCAACGATTGGGGGGCACCAGCCGCACGCTATTGGCGTCATATTTGGCAGAGTTTTAGTGGCGCCACTCCCACAAACATCATATTGTCGGCCAGTATTTCGAAATCCTACGTCTAAATTTTCACATCTAACCCTAACCCTACCCCTAACTCTAAGCCAACAACCGCATGATGATGACTACACAACCATTCACAATGCCTCACGCAACCGTACGCAACCCTGCACGCAACCATATGATGATGCCACGATGCCTCACGCAACCGTACGCAGCCCTACAGTGACTACACGCAACCGCAGGATGATAGCTAAGTGTGTCGTTTGTTTTCCGATCACTGTTTGGAGTGCGGCCAAGGGAGAGAACTCCGACTAAGTCGTCCACGGCTGTTTATTCTTCGTCCGGATTTGCCAGTAGAGCCCAAATAAATTACAATTGTACAATTATTTTTATCATCTAACACTAACCGTGTAATAATACTGATTGTATATTACTTTACTGTACAGTACAGTAAAGTAATATACAATCAGTATTATTACAGTATTAGTACAGTGTACTACTAACTATTAAAACGGTGAACTTGGAACTCATGTTTCATATTTGAAAGAAAGAGTAAAGTAAGCAGAGTAAAGTGACTAGACAACTAAAATGGATCACCATGAGATTGGTTTACGTTACACTAGCATCCCTTGGAAAAAATACTAACTCAAAAACGTACCCGATACGTAGATTATTAATCGTAAGTGTAAGCAGGAGTGACAGATGTCTTGTCTTGATTACGCCGAAGACGGGCCATGGGTGGACGGGTCCAACTGATTACCGGCACATAATAGCAAAATGCGATTGGATTGGAACCCAGGAATAAGCATTTTTTTTTAATTAAAGCAAACGCATCTTATCAAATGTATTCTTTAAATATATATATATAGCCAAAAATTAGAAATATAACAGCTGCAGCGAAAGTTTGATAATATGCGATTGTCAATTGAGAGCACTAATGGCGGAACAGGAATGCTTTGAGTTTAAGTGTAGTGGGGGTAGAACTTTTGATTATCCATTCAAAATATAAGTAGTACAAGAAATAACACATTACGATGAACGACACTATATGTAAGATATTTAGTGCAACCAAATTGTTCAAATTAAGTGCATACCAAAATTTGATGCCACAAGATTGAAAAAATTAACACTATATTCCAATACAAAGATGGACTGTAAACTTCCGGTTTCACGGAAACATCAATCCCATAAGCAAGGTTGCCAGATAAAAAACGTCATTTTATGCCAAACCATCACCCAAAATATGCCATAAAATTGCCAAATAAAGTGTAACATTGTACTCACTTCACATCAAAAGCTATAGATTGAATTCTTCACTGTCATCCTCACTGGAACCAGTTGAAGATGCAGCATAAACCTTTTCGGATGTAAAATCTTTAAGCATTTTCTCAGATGGAATAAGGTCTTTGCAACATTTCTTTGATATCAATAGTTCTGCTCTAGTTCTGACAACTGCATCAAGAAAATCCCGTTGTTTTTGTTTCTTGCTTTTGATTTAGTTGAAGTAACAAGAGAGAATATTCTCTCAACTACAGCATTGCTAACGGGCATTATTAAGCAAATAAGGGTGAAAGTGGCTAACTCTTTAAATGCCTGGTGTCGAAGTACGCCTATCCAAAAATCTTCCCTGTTTGTAGGTAGTCCATCCTTCTTAAATGAAGCTTCTTCTTTCCAGTTGACAACAATCAGTTTTCTGTACTGTTCTTCTATAATACTGATGTTGTTTTCTGCCAGGTGTAAAAATGATAGCTTTGAAAACTGTGTCCCTGATACTTGATTTAAAACTGCCAAAAGGCTCAGTTGTGACAGATTTTGAAATATATTCTCGGTGGGAAGTCTACACGTAATTTTATTGAGAGCTTCCTCTAGCACAGACATGCATCTTTCATTAACATTGTTTATTTCTATCTGAACTTCAGTCCTGTTATTCTTCTGTAGGAACGCATTACATTCCGTTAGGAATTTAATACCAAAGTCAACGTGGTGAATATTTTTTTTTTGCTCATTGACGTCATACAGTCTGTTGTTTAGACTTTTCTGGTGCATGGACAATTCTTGGTGTAGTTCATGAGAATCAGCTTTTGTTTGTTGGAAAAGACTGTTCAGTCTTTCAAATTCTTGTACAATTGGTGTCGCAAACACAGTACAAATAATTATTGTGGTCTAACAGCATTTCCTTTAACAATCTTACTTTATATTTTGTGTCAAACGTTGTCTGGGCTAATTCAGCACATGTGAAATAAGTTTTCAATTCTCACCAGTTCACCAACATATTGAACATAATCTTTCCACGCATAAGCAACCTAGTAGATGACAGTTTCTCAAATGGAAGAGGAGCAGTTCGTTCTGATTCAAACTCCGTTGATGTGTTCATCACTCTAAACAGTTCTTTATAGGCTTCTCATCTGAAATCACTATGACAAAACTACTGAGGTGTTTCTGACAGTAAGAAACCAATATTTGATGGCAGCTTGGCAATTGCACTACAAATGCAGAGTGCTAGGGAATGGCAGATACATTTGAGTTTTACACAAAAAGGAAACACATCTTTAATCCTGGATCATACAAAGTTCTTGCACCCGACCATGTTTGAAGCGCTACCTGAAGCAAACCCAATGCAGTTTGTAAGACTCTGACCACACTTTTTGATTTCCTTATCAATGAAACTAAATACGTTTTCTCCTGGAGCCACTTGCAATGAAATTAAAGTAAGAAATCCAGTAAATATTTCATTTTTCCTGTCACTGAAAAAACTAACTATAATGCAAAAGTACTTTTGAGTGGAAACGTCAGTAGACTTATCTGTAATGATGGCATATTTCTTGTTCCGAAAAACCTCA